CCCCCCCCCCCCCCCCCGCCCCTGTCTCGCCGTCTGTGCATTAGCCTTGATATTATTCCTCCGTAATTGTGCCGAGGCCAATCGCTCGATCGGCGGAGTGTCATTGGACTCTCCGCCGGAAGCGAACCAGGGAGCCCGACGTGCTGCCACCTGCTCTATCGATCGTCCACCTACGCTTCTCTCTCTCTCTCTCTCTCTCACCTTCCTGCATTGCGTGTGCACACACGAGCGTGCGTGCACGCGCTCCACTCGACCGACCAGCGGCCAGTCGCTGCTCCTTCGCGCCCTTCCGTTTCTCGTCTGCCGGTGTATCCTGCCTGTCTCGCGGCAGCGATACTTTCGCGAACGGTATTTATTTTTTTTTTTTATTGGAAGAATCGGTATTTATTTTATTTATTATATTTGCTTATTTCTATTAAAATGGCGTTTATTATATTAAAAGAAATCGCATTTCGGGGCCGATATCGCGCTTGAAAAAAGTGTGCGAGCGGTGATGTATTTTGCCGCGATGTTTGCACGAGAGAGAGAAAGAGAGGGGGAGTAAGCCGCCCGTTATGCATGGGACAGGGATGCAGACACGGATTAAAGCCGAGGTGTAACGTGATTGTCGCGACGCGTTACAATGGTAAACGTAGTAAACGATCCTTTCGTGTTATACATCCGTTTGCGTAGCGCTGCAATCGCGCGTCGTTGTTGTGACTTCTAATTAGCGTTGGCGGTATAAACCCAAGTAATTTCTCTTCCCCGGTACGTCCCCGAGTTCGCCAAGAGGTATTACTTGGGTATTCAAGTCGTCACCGTCTGAAGACGACAGGTAGCCGGATATCTAGGAATTAAAAATCGCCCGTGATACCCACGTGATACTCACTTGACCTTTGCCCTTGATTTTCGTAGCAGCTGGTTCCGTGTCAGCTTCGTTCTTAGTTTCGCAATATTTCCTATATGCGAAGAATTTCTCTCGAAGATATAAACATTCATCGAATCGAAAAGGTACTGTAGTAGTCTTGCTGGGCTAGGATATATATTGACAACGTCGAAACAGTTTCGAGGCAGTATGGGAAATTTTGGAAAACAACGTGAATGACACGATTAAAATTGCACATCGCTGCACAGGCATCATGGTCTGTGTTACGAACACGAAATTACAATAAACGAATATTCTATCTGTTGCTGTCACAAATGTGCATATAGTAGTAGTACTATATACCGTAAACAATTTTTTGTAGAATTTAACACACTTCATATGTCCCAAACGGTCCGTTCAGATTTTTGTGTTGATTTAACGCAAATATGTTGAGAAGTAACACATATAGTATGTCAAAAATTAATACAAAAAACATGATTCTTTGACATTATTTATAAGCAAATTTTATGTAAAAATAACATATTTATAATTCTAAAAGTAACTAAAAGGAAAAATTATTTTTCACCTTTTTTTCGTTATATGGATATACATTAAAAAATATATTGTACTTGTGGTAAAATTTCTTTCAGTTCTTGTTAAAATTTATGTGTTAAATTTTTAACACATCCGTGTATTAATTTAACATAATGTGTTCATGTCATGTCAACAATTTTATGTTGTGTAATAAAACACGTTGATTTAACAGATTTAACGACTATTTGTTTTACCGAGGAAAAATAGCTCTAAAACTACGTAATTTTCATCTCAAGTGTATATTTACATACAAATTATGTTATTTTAACACAAAAGAATGTTGAATATTAATTCTACACAAAATGTTAAATATTCATTCAACGCGGATCTTCAAATAGCACAATCACATTATGTTACATTAACACACGGCCATGTTGAGAATTCAACGAAACTTTTACCAAGTATCGATTTTAATACAAGAAATGTTTTTTAAAAAACCTTTTTTACTTACATGTACGTCACTACCCGGGATAAAATGTTTTTTCATGCTGACATTAAAAATAACGCGCTCCAAGTTGCAGCGTCGAAAATACATGTTTCAGTATGGGACACTTTTTACTTTATTGATATTTCCTCATACGTACGATAAATTCATACATAAAGTCAGAATATCAAATTAAAAAATATCTGATCAAACTGTTTATTACTGCTGTCATATATACATATAAAATGCTAACTTCAATATGAGTATATCTTAGTCGCGCAATACAAGTCTAGTAAATTATACTATTAACATGCTATAGTATATTATGCAACAAAAAAAGTCTGCGTGTGCATACGCTAATCACGACACTCGAGTGCCCGGATAATTTTTTCAATAGACAGGTACCCAGGTGTATCCGGGAAGTAATACCCACAGGACCGGCTCCTTTCGTGTCGCACACTCGTTTCCGTGCCTGCGATCGTTTGCCGTCGTTGTGTGAGTTCTAATTAGAGCGCCGTCGGCACGAATCGGGTGTTTTCAATTTTTATTTTTCGAATTGGTGTTGTCAGCGTGATCCTCGGGTGCTGCCCCGATATCGACATCGCTGTTTGTCTAACATCGTTATTGGGATATCGATCGGCGGGATTATCGATGCTTGCGTTAACACCGCTAACGCCCCGCGTTGTCCTCCTTAATTTAACTGAATGCCAGCGCAGACGCGCGCAGTTATTACGTGTACGTTGCTCAAACAACAACGGGCGAACCGGTTCTACTTAGCGCGCGACAATTGCACCGTCCCCCGGGGAGAAATAGTTGCGGGACCGAATAACCGTATCCCATTTACGTACGTGTCTGTGTCTCTATCGCCGCGAATTAGCGCTACGTGTCGACACGTCGGGAGAGCCGCGACAAACGGGAAATAGATTCGCGTCGCGTCCCGTCGTCTGGATTTCCCCAGCTCTTCAATCCGCGAAAACTCCGGGACTTATCTAACTTAAACACGCGCGTCCCCCATCCGTTTCGAGTGCTCGCTACTTTTCTGCACGAGCGTATCGCGTTTCGCGCAGCGGCAATCGAAATTCCCGAGTGACATTCACGTATTTCCCACCTATCGACATGCTACGACGTGATACGCGCAGAGAAACACGGAAAGAGAACGAGATAGATGGATAGATAGATAGATAGATAGATAGACAGATAGATAAAAAGAGAAAGGGAGAGAGAGAGAGAAAGAGAGACAGGTAGGGAAGAGAGGAGGGAAAATAGGGGAAAAAGATGCGCAGATTCGTGTTTCGTTACGCTCGTAAAAATTCGCGATATTTTCATATCAAGCCTGCGCATCGTCGGAAAGTATCCCGTCGCGTTTTCGCAGCACCGCCACTCGCCTGGATTTTGTCTCGTTTCAGGACGTCCCGCTTTTATCCCCGCGATACCCTCGTAAAGATATATGGCGTTCGAGATCGCGGTCGAAATCGAGGGAGAGGGTGNAGAGGGTGGGGCTGACGAAAGAGGGGGGGGGGGGGGAGGAGTGTTCACGGGGGAACGACGAAGGTCTCGTGTAAAAGCGCGACGATCTCGCCTAACGATCGACGTCTCCACGCAGCCTCGGTGCTTTCCAGGTTAATTAAAGGAAACGGCGGGCGATTACGCGATGATACGGCACTGTAAAATGACGTGGGGATTAATTTCAGACTGCGTCGGCAATGCGTCGGCGGTCCAAGCCGGGGGAATAAAAAGAATACGGCGAGAACCCGTTTAGTTTCAATCGGAAATTCGCGGACCAAAGTATAACGAGATTCCAGTCCGAACGCGGTTACGAAGCTGGTCGCGAGATTGTATAGAGATTGAAAGAGAGAGGGAGGGAGAGAGAGAGAGAGAAAGGTAGATACGTAGATAGATAGACAGATAAATTTAACCCTCTCTGGGATTAAAAACTCCCTTGGGTACTCAATACATACATATCAATATTTACAATATAAGCGCAAATAAATATCCAAAATTAAATAGTGCAATAAATTTACAGTCTCGAAGTACGATCGACTATCATTAAAGGCCAGACACGATATCTACTCACACGGCGCAGTAACAGAGAAATATAAATATATAATTTATATGAAATTGCAATTATATATATATATATATATATATATAATATTCTAATATATATATATATAAAATTGCAATTTTATACATCGAGAGATATCAAATTACTGCGTGATTTATCAGAGTCTTACAATTGCTTGTAACTGTTCAGAGATATTGAATACATTGTAGTATTTGTTTATGTATTTTCGTGGTATCGTGGTATACACATACATGTGTGTGTGTGTGTGTGTGTGTGTGTGTGTGTGTGTGTGTGTGTGTGTGTGTGTGTGTGTGTGTGTGTGTGTGTGTGTGAACAGTTACAAGCAATTGTAAGACTAATAAATCACGCCGTAACTCGATATCTCTCGATGAAGTAGAAATTGAAATAGTTGATTTTTGAAAGCTACCAATGAATTCGAATCGGTGATATCATCAGGGAGAGAAAGAGAGAGGGAGGAAGAGGAGGGGAGGGAAAATGAGAGAAAAACAGAGAGAGATATTCGCTTCAGCGGCAATGAGGGAAGGCAAATTGAATTTTGCGTCAAAGTAGGTCATTATGTATAATTACTAACATTTAACGCGAACGAGCGCGAAACCCCTCTACAGGATAGCAACAAACGTCGCACTCGCCCCACCGCCGGGAAGGTGCTTTCCCGAGGATTTATGTCATCGGCGAATTCTGAATCGCGGTGGCCACGGATCCACCGGATTGTCGGAGCCCGAGTTTCGAAATATCCTATGCTTTATTTTTCGTACGGCGTTTATCGGCCGGCATTTTCAGGACGTTTGATATGGAAATCGACAGTCTCCGCGGCCGAGCGATATAGC